GTATAATTCGGGTAAGAAAATTTTATTGTTTCTCAAATAGATGTACAGTGAAAACAAAATACGTATAAATTCTATTTAATCTCCTCTTTATTTAATTTTATAATAAAAAGAAAACTTCACTAGTCATTAAACAATTTGTTCAGATAAAAAGAAGCATAAATATTTTCATCATATTTAATTTGATAATCATGGAACTGTAATTCTTGGAGATAAAAAATTATCAGAAAAAGCATGCAAGTTTATTTGGATACATATTATATCTCACGTTCCATCGTTAATTCTTTATACGTGTATCCACCTGTAATTTCAATTGTCTACCCTTATTGATTTTTTCAGTCCTTTTATCTGATCGTAGCGTAACACATCGCATTATTCATAGTGACTGAACACGAGGACAAATATTTTAATACGTATACTTATGTTAGTAGTAAAATGCTTCAGTGTACGATCTCATTTAATCTCTTTTTACATGAATGAAAAACCGACGTACCGTAGACCGTTCAAGCTAATCATTAATGAAATCAGTCTAAAAACGGATCTTACTTTAGTTTAATACCCGTGGAAGACATCCCGGTTAATTTTCTGTTTGATATCATCGAGTCCATTTCAGTGAATGTATTTGTCTTTAGAATAATAGACAGGCAGGGAACAACAGTAAGTCAAGTAAAACGATTGTTGTACAATTAATTACCAGAGACGATTAAGTATTATGGTTTCAGTCAGAGTGATTGGCATACTTAGTCTTGAACTTTTATTATTAAGGATGTATTGGCTATACGGTCAATCCCAAAAATTTATGTACCTTAGAAAAACGTATTTCCTATAATTAAAAAGAAATCAGACGTCGGAAGAACAATGCTAATAATAAATAGCTACGTGCTAAAAAGAAAACTTTTCATATCGGAATTATAAGCCCTGACGTCCTCAACAAGAAAGATTCTATGAATTTTTCTTCTAACTCGAGTATTTAACAAGTTACATATGATTATTTGGCATTTTATTGATGTTGACAAAATCCGACCATCCCAGCCTCGAAAAGACGAACTTTTGGAAAAAAATTTCGGTTTCCTTCAATAACTCTTAAACCGTTGGTTCTACGGGAAAATTGCATAGGACCCTTCTTATAGAGGACGACGAGATCTACAATTTCTGTATAAAACTTTTTCTCTAGCATTAATATTTAACGAGTTATTGCCGAAAAACGAAAAAACAGTTTTTTACAAATTACTCGTTAACTATTGACGCTAGCGAA